ATTTATATTGTACAGAGTGAGAGAAAATGGGCCGCAGTCAGAAAAGCCAAGGTGGGAAGGATGGGTAGACAGAATTGTTCCTGTGCCATTGTAGCAAATATGCAGATGGCATGGTACTGGGAGGAAGACTGTAGTTCTTCCTTGAGTATCCTCTTGATTAGTTTTGAGTCACTAGAATGCCATTCATTGTTTGGGCCAGTTAACTCATTATAGGCCAGTTAACTCATTGGTCCTAATGCATAGCTTAGAAACATTACTTGGTTTGGACTATAGTTTCCAGAATTCCCTAACCAGCATGGCCAGTGCCAAAAAGTAATTCTTCCAAGCGGTGACCTGTAATAAAGCAAAGAAGCATTCCAATTACACACAGACCATGCAGAGACAGCAAGATACCCAAGGGGAAAAATGTACAGAAAAAATGGACAAAAATTTTCTGCCAAGCACTACATCCTCAATGGGATAATCTACCAGGGATGTGTGCAGTCAAAAAAAATAATAAATAAATCACAGTCTGGAGCTAAAAGTAGGCAAGCCATCTTTCTCTCCCCCCTGCCCCCTTTTCCTCCTCCTCCTCCTCTCTCTCTCTCTCTCTCAGTTCCATCCTTTGTCACTGACCCTGCCATCCACTTTATCTCCTTCTTCCTCTCCACCTAGTGGACTGTCTGGAGAAGGGACAGTTTGCTCTTCCAAAGGCTTGAAACAGAATGAGGCGGCCACCTCAGATAGCAAAAGCGGTGGCTGTGTGTGAGACTTGGCAGGTGCCCTTTGGCCCCTTTTAGCCTAGCCTGCTGGCACAGTGAAATATGCTTTCCAAGGTGAGAAATGACTGCTTGCATTTCTCACCTTGGAAATGAGGTTAGCCTATAGCTCCATGCATGCGCGGATCACTCAGAGTGTGATTCACAGAGGCCACAAAGAAGACCTATAACTTACACTCATCCCCACCTTCAATGCATATAAAAGTCAGATAGGAAAACAAATGAACGGCAATAGATACATTTCCTTTTCATTTCATGAGCAGTAACCTACACTTTACTCCCACTTCTTCATGTGCTGAGATGTGTGCCGGGAGTTACTGGGTGCAGATTTTCACACTGTGCATGAGATACATGGTGGCTCTTCGTGCTTACAGTTCATGTTCACATTCCCACATTGATATAGGCAGATGCATTAAATATTGAGGAAACAGGACTGACCTTATAATTTGGGAATCTACCTCTTTGGCCTCGTGAAAAAAGGAAGCATGAAATGGAAGCATGGATTATGTTTCCCTCATCTAATAAACCAAAACAAAATGTTCCTTTGAAACTGAATTTGAGCATGTCCCAGGTTGCCATGTATCTTGTCATGGGATGGAGCACCATTTGGTTTGTCTCATATAGCAAATTATTTTGAGCTAAAAGGTAAAGGTTCCCCTTGACATTTAGTCCAGTCATGTCCGACTCTAGGGTGTGGTGCTCATCCCTGTTTCCAAGGTGTAGAGCCAGCATTTTGTCCATAGGCAGTTTCTGTGGTCACGTGGCCAGCGCGACTAGACACAGAACACCGTTACCTTCCCACTATGGTGGTCCCTACTTATCTACTTACATTTACATGCTTTTGAACTGCTAGGTTGGCAGGAGCTGGAACAACTGTGTGCTCACTCTGTCACATGGATTCAATCCTACAACTGCTGGTCTTTTGACCTTGCAGCACAGAGGCTTCGGCGGTTTAACCCACAGCGCCACCACATCCCTGATTCTTGGGCCAGCCGTGGCTAATTTTATTGAAGCAGTCATCCAGACTGATTGTGGAAAATGATTCTTAGTAGTCTGCAGTCCTACGCATTCACAAGTGTACTTGCTTACATGCATCAACAGAACTTCAAAAAATGTTTTTAGTCTACAATTCCAGAACTTCCCAGGCAACATAACTAGTAGCCATTCTAGCTGGGGGAATCTGAGAGGTGCAGAGCAAAAAAGGCTGAACAAAAACACATATTCCCCCTTTCAGTTTGCACAATGCAGAGTGCATTTGATTTAAATCAAATTGAATCACAATTAAAAATTTTTAAAAATCTGATTGTTGGCAATTTAAATCAAAAATATTTTTTAAAATTAAATCATGATTTAAATCAATGTGATTTTTAATTGATTTTTATCCTTAACACAGATATGTGCTCACTCTCACCTGCACTTTCCTACTGCTCTTTGAGCATCTCAAATCTTATTATCACTGTGTTCATTCCTATTGTCCTGTTTCCCCTGTTGTAGTTATATGTAGGAATTATCTGATTACCCACCTGTGAGCTGGGGAATAAATAATTGTTCATTTCAGGCCCTGGCTTAAAGTGCTGCCAAAACGTTCTGCCCCTGCCACCTCTATCCAGATCTCCTTCATTGACTTTTCATGCTCCGTGTCCCAGTTTTCAGCCGGCCCCAGGGTCCAGGCAATCTGAAAGTAAGCAGCACACGCCGTCCCAGAAAGCAGAACAGCTCTGGGACTCCTGCTCCACTTTCGGCACATGCCAAAAGGGCCTATAATTAACCCAAAAGGACACCACTCCCCCTGCCCCTGATGCTCTTCTGATCCCATTTGCTGGATATCTCAGACATAAAGATAAGGGGGGGGGCAAATAGAAGCAGGCATACACAGCTCAGGAAGTGTGTGTGTGATTTGCAGTAGGAAGGCCCCAGGTTCAAGAGCTGGCATCTCCAGATACAAAGGCCACAGAGCTTGGAAAAGCCTATTTTTTTTGGAGACAACAACTAGAATCCTCCAGATAAGGTTCTCAGAATTGTTGTCCAGAAAAGGAATCTTTCTAGGTCTTGCCACCTGAGATTCTGGAGAGCTGTCATCTATTTGAATAAACCATACTCAGTACTGGGCTATACAGATAAATAATCTGATCTGATAAAATATGGTTTCCTTTGCCCCACCGTGGAAATGGAACATTTAGATATTCAGTTATTTATTATTTCTCTACCATGGGCTGAGCAGCGGGGAGAGATTTGTGCTCTACTAGACGACATTTGGCTCCAGCTTCCATCAGCTCTAACATCTATGGCTAATGGTCAGGAAGAGTTGAAAGTCTAGGGACTTCTGTGGGGCTTTACCTTGTTGTACCATCAATACAACCAATAATGCCTTAAAAGCAACAACAGAACACCTGCAAACTATTAAAAGCACGAGAAAAGACTAAAAAAATAATTTCAAAGGCCAAATGAAACACCTGCTCCTTGACATCTGTTGTGGAAACAGAGAAGGTGGTGGGCAGTTTTCATAATTCTAAAAGCAAGATTTGCCACAGGAGGTGGGGAGAAACAGCACAGGCAACCCTTTCCCGTTCACCCAAAATTTAGATTTCTTGGAACAACAGTGTCCTCAGAAGAGGCTGCAGATCTTAACAGAAGCCGTCACCTGAAACAGCTGCCTTACTTTACCTAATGGCAGAGCTGGCCCTGATATAAGAGATCATTTAGCTCACTGGTTTTTAACCTTTGGTTACTCAGGAGTTTTGGACTGCAACTCCCAGAAGCCTTCACCACCAACTGTGCTGGCTGGGGTTTCTGGGAGTTGCAGTTCAAAAGCATCTGAGTAACAAAGGTTAAAAACCACTGATTTTAGCTCACAACAGAGGACTATCTGTGCTTGCTGTGATTCCACAGAAGCAGAGAGGAACCCCAGAATGTGGTGCAGACCATAGGATCTACTTCCATAACAGTTCCTCACAGCCCACCTGTAATTTCCAAGATAAAATATTTCTGAGGATATTTCTAATAATGTTCTTTCACTCCCTCCTTCTCAAAGAGGGACATTTTGTAAATATTCTTTAGTGTTTTGTTTTTTTGTAGTGTCTGCTACTGCTTCCCCACAACGCCCCGGAATATGTAGATTTGGAACATTTGTCATGAAGGCAAAATGGCAGCCACAGTGCCAGCACATTTGCTGTTGTGGCTGCACTTACGGACGCAGCCAAAAACAGTGACAACCGCCCACTGCCACCAGCAACCCACTAAGTGTATTGCTAATGGTGAGCCATCCTCTGTGGAATAATAACTTTTTCTCATTCC